AAGAGTGTCACAGGAAATCAAGTGCCCAGGGCAAGCCTCTTGCTTTGAAAATATTTGTGGCTGGCAGAAATCGTCTGGAGAATGATGGTGCCACTGCCCTGGCTGAAGCCTTTGGGGTAAGTAACAAACTAAAGCTGCTTGACAGCAAATTGGAGCACGATGTGCTTAAGTGCTAATGTTGAAGATAATGCATGCAGTTGCAATGTTGTTTGCTGCTGAAACTGAAGTCTTCGACAAGTGCGATTAGAATTGATGACTGAATGTTTATGTGACTTAAGCTTCCAAACACATGACTAGTGGCTGTGTGAAGTAGTTACCTAAGGGAGAAATAGGCATCTCCTCAGTAGTTTAATAGTAGTCCTATTGGTTCTCCTGCCTCTGTGCTAATGGAGGTTATCTGGCACTGGGGTAGGTGTACCAGCTGACCTCTTGAGTGCTTCTCTACCTAGTTGTTCAATCATCTGGCAAAAGCAACCTAATGTTTTCGCTAGGATCATCCCGTGAGCACTCTAAATGGTCCCTAGCCTTCTCTAGCTGTCCCTGGCCAACTTGCACTTTTGTTGGAGGAAAAGAATTCACTGTGGTTGGGGCCACCTACTTTCCTTTTTTCTTCCTCCGCTGCCGCTAAAAGCGACTTCTGAATTATAATGGATATTTTCAGGTATATTAACAATGATATTGCAGGTTATAGGTTGCTCTTTTTTGTAAAGAGCTGTCTGAGTGTGATTTTGACTAATCAGCAATCATGGCAAAAATAAGATTTCTTAAATACTTGAGAGGCACATAACAAAGTGATTAATGAGGAATTGAGACTGAAAGGCACTACCAAAATGGGATTAATTACTCTGTTTTGTGACATGCTGATTAGTCCATCAATAGCGTTCACACTAATTTTCTTAGGAGTTTGCTTCCACAGTCAGGGCAGAATGTAGACCTTAATTTAAAAAATATTCTATCCAGTGATGTTGCTTGATATGTTTCAGGGTTACTGAACCACAGATGTAGAACCTCTTGTTTTAAGGTATCCTAGAGCAGACACACTGGGAGGATGCTACCTGTGACCCTTAGAATCAGGGACTTTATATTAATCTGACACTTGCCATGAGCCTGCAATTTCACTTAGATATGTGACATAATTGCTGGTAAATAGTGCTATGTAGAAGAGCTAACTGAGTTTTGAGTTGGAGGAAAACAATTCTAAGCAAATGGAGCGGAGCACTATAGTCTTGAGTTGAAGTATGTCTCCTAACAGCTTTTTTCATTTGCATCCTTTCCCAGATCATTGGGACTCTAGAAGAGGTCCATATGCCACAGAATGGAATCAACCATCCTGGCATCACAGCACTGGCCCAGGCCTTTGCTCTCAACCCACTCCTTAAGGTTATAAACTTGAATGACAACACCTTTACAGAGAAAGGAGCCATGGCCATGGCAGAGGTGAGTTGTTCTAAGCAGTTGCTTTGGGCTTGTTTTCTGCCTCCCAGTCATTTTGAATATAGTTAGTGTTAACACCTCTGGGTTGGTGGAGCCACATACTGCACTGCAGTAGGAAAGATGACCTTCCAGGATTGATAGGACATTCATTTACTTGCATGTCTGTACTTTCAAATTTGTGCTCTCTTGCAGACTCTGAAGGCGCTTCGACAGATTGAAGTGATCAACTTTGGAGACTGCCTGGTGCGTTCAAAGGGTGCTGTTGCTATTGCTGATGCTGTTAAAGAAGGGCTTCATAAATTGAAGGTAATTGTTTTCCTGCTGTTCAGCTTTTAATCTGTTTTGAAAATGCCTTGTTTCCCTTTTCCTGGTTTTCTGTACATTCTCCTACTGATTATTTTAAATTGGGATTCACTTGAGTGCAGGCTCTGCGCTCACAACTGAAAAGCAATAAGCTGTATTGTAGATCAGTGGCATCGTGACATCCAGCTAAGACCATTCTACATGGATGTGTACTAATGATCTGTTTAGACTCCACTTGATGTTTTTGAAGCTGTTGGTTCAGCTCAGTGAGTGCTATCTGAGAAATCTGATAATGGAAGTATCTGATTTTAGAACCTCTGAGGGTCATGAGCAGAAATGAGATGTTCCTCTTCATGAACAACTTGTAGTCTCTTCAGCATTTCAGAGTTCATACAGTTACTGCATTTTCTTTGTTAGGGCATGTATCAAAGGTCATGTATCAAAGGTCCAAATATTTTTAGGTTTTTTGCAATCCCACAGCCTCCTACATCAGTATTTGCACTGGACTTGCATTTGACAAATTCTAGACAGGCCTAAGTCCAGTTGGTAATGTAAGTAAACTAGGACCTCTAGAAATACCTGTCATGGGTCACAGCTGTGCTGGGACAGATGCTGAGCACATAATTCCTCGTCTTACAAGCTTAGACTCAAAGACAAGAATTCAGCTGAGTGCTAATACTTATTTGTGTATATGAACCTGGTACAGAAAGAAGTGGATGCTTTGTGGTATGAGATCCTTTCCTCAGGCTTCTGTTGGTTCTGGTGGAACTTATGTCTGAATCTCCCAGGAAGACTTAAGTAAGGATTCTAATGGGGGTATTGAGAAGAACAGCTAGAAGTTACATCCTTTTTTCTAGAGCAGAAGTGGTTAAGGGAAGGGCAGCATGAAGCAATCATAGCTGATTCATTCTGTTCAAGAACTGCTTCCCTTTTGCTGTTAATAATAAATCTCTTCTCAGGAAAGGATTGATTGACTATGTGGAATGGTGGGGGATGGTGTCTGGCTGTTGAATAACTTTACTCTTACTGTCTGTGCTGTTTCTCTGCTAGCTGTGTTTGTCACAAGTAGTACCAGTCATAGTTTGTATTTTGAAGGCCTTAACCTGCAACATAAATGTTCAAAAGCAAATGTGCAGTCCATTTAGCATAGTAGCTACCCTTCTTCAGTAAGACTTACTGATGTGTGAATTCTGGAACGCTCGTGACTCTTAAGTGAAGCTCTCCATGCAGCTGACTGCTAAGGACTGAAATGTCTGCTACCTTTTAGGTGACAGTCAGAATGGTCTGGTCTCTGTGGCTATTCTAGTAAAGTCGTTACCTTCAGTAGTCTTGCTCTTAACAGTAGTATGTTTCAAAACATACTTTTAGGTATATGAAGTAGGAGTATGTGTCAGGTTTTATTTCCAATTAAAAATACTTTTTTTGCTAAGAGCCTTTTCAAATGAGATTTTCTAGAACACTTGTGAGCACATGAAGCTTATGGAGATGATAGATGTTGCAGAGATAGGAATTCTGCAAATAAATGTTCTTCTGCTTCTTAGGAACTGAATTTGTCCTTCTGTGAGATCAAACGAGATGCTGCTCTGACTGTTGCTGAAGCTATTGAAGATAAGGCAGAGTTGGAGAAGCTGGATCTCAATGGTATGTAAGCTTGCTAGATCAACGTATGTCTATTCTGATCCCAACTAGAAACTGCTAGGAAGAATGTTAACAGCATCACATATTCTAGTCTTGCAATTGTCAGCATTTAAAAAATGGTACTCTGAGTAGCTGAATTTGGATGACCTCGGAACAGGAAGCAGTTATATCCTGAAAGTTTTCTTAGGCCATGAACTGAGTTAATTGTTAAATATAAGCACTTTGGTACATCTCATAAGGTGGAAAGATTAAACTGATACCTGTACCTGTTTTCAGTAAAACTTTTTTAATTGTTCATTGCGATCTTGGATATTTCATATTTGCAAACAGAAACCTCTGAACCCATCTCTGCAAAAGAGTGGGAGATCTTTGACCGGTTCATACCTTGGGTACCTGTTCATACCTTGGGTCACTGCATTTCAGTGGTACTGTGCCATATGTCCTTGTTTGAGAATCACTGAGAGCCAGAGCTGTTTAAGAACTAGTAGAAAGACACTCTGAAAAATTAACGGTTGGAGACAAACCAACCCTCTATGTAATGCTGCTGAAATTTGTTTAACAACTGTTTGATTCTGATAACTGAAGGCAGCATTGCTGCCTCTAAGGTGTTGTGTAGAAATAATTGATAACTGTTCAATTTGAGAAATAAGAGATAGACAAGAATCTACAGCAAAATCCTCAAGAGCAAACTTGTGTGCATCTGTTAAGTCTACTCCTTCCCCTATCAACCTAGGTAACTGTCTGGGAGAAGAGGGATGTGAGCAACTCCAAGAGATCCTTGAAGGCTTCAGTATGGCAGCTGTGCTGGGATCTTTGAGGTAAGCAGGGTACCAGAGTTTAAATCAGAATTTTTCCAACCATTTTTCATCAACACTTTCATTCACCCATCTCTTTTAAAATAAGAACTGTAACATTGCAGATGGATGTTGGTTTCAGTGTGCAGTGTGGAACACCATTTGGAGATTCCATAAGCAGGATAAGCCTAGTGTCTTGTTTTCATCGATGGACTTATCTTAGTGTTAGTTATTGATTGCATTCCTCATTCTTTGCTTGCTGTTGTCAACTGAGTGTCATCTGTTGTAGATGGAGATGCACTTCTTGCAGTAAGACTTGACGGGAGGGTGCTTCTTGGTTCTTGAAAAAAGTTTTGAGTTCCAGTGTACAGGAATTGCAAGTGTATAATTAATGTCACATGTAACACTCAAACTTTAGTGATGATGAAGGGGAGGAGGAGGAGGATGAAGAAGAGGAGGAGGAGGATGAAGATGAAGAGGAGGAGGAAGAGGAGGAGGAAGAACAGCAGCAGCTGAAAGAGAAAGGACAGGGAGAACAGGAGTCACTGACTCCGAAGAAGATAATCGAGTCACAGGTAAGCTTACTTCCAGATGCACTCCTGTTTCTTCAGCTGGAGGAGAGTAAAGGAGGAAATGAGATCTGGAGTCAGTCTGAACTTGGAGTACTGGCAGGCGTTCACATTCCTGCGTGGGCTGGCACGTAACAGTCGGGGAGATAACATGCAGGAAATGAAGAAAATGGATGACTTGGAAACATGTTTTGTTGAAGGGTGCATGTGCATGGAGGGAAAGCCTGAGTAGTGGTTGTAACAAACATGGGTAGAAAAAAATCTTCTCGTGTCCAGAAAATGGTGGGAACCTTGTATGTGTAATGCCATGCAGTCGTGTTAACATATTCTGGCTATTCCAGTTCTGGGCTCATTCCAGCCTCAAATAGTTTTCAAATAGAACAAATCCTGACCTGATGGACCTGTCCTGATGTCCTGTCTGCTGATCCAATTTATTTACTTCCAAGAGTAAATTTGAGATGGATTCTGCCTGTTTCAGGAATCAACTCCAGTGGCATCTCCTCCTGTGGACATTGCCACCTTCCTTGCTTTCCCATCACCAGAGAAGCTGCTACGACTAGGACCAAAGTGCTCAGGGCTGATAGCTCAGCAGGTAGGTGAGCCAGTGGTCTTCTGTGGCTGATTATCTCTCAGAATCATTTAATTCCCAGAGGTGATAACTTTATCTTGAGACCTAAATTTACATCTTCTCCCCAATGATCCCAAGGAACTTTGTGGAAGCAGATGATGCAGTTAAGGTTTAGGCTGGCACCAGAGCTTCTATATAGAGTAACTTTGTTTCACAGTGCCGTTTATGCCTTGTGTTATGGCCAAGGCAAAACCGATGTCAGTCAGCTGAAGGGTGTAATTCTTGTCACAGCCCTAGCAGAGACCCATTTTCTGTAGCTGGTGAGTAGTGAACTGAATGACCGCTGATTTTTTTTTTTATACTTTTTTCCTCTTTTTTTGTCTTTCAGACAGATACATCTGATGTAGAGGAAGTAGTTACAACTCTTCTAAGGATATCATCAGTCTTCAAAGATGAAGCCCCAGTGAAAACAGCAGTGCATGAAACAACAGGTAACTGGGCCTTTCTTCACTTTGTGGTGTGACGTGCTTCAGTGTCAAGGACACCAGTGCGATCACAGGAAGGCCCCTGTGGGTCAGGGCGTTGGACCGTTTTGTTCCTGGCAGCAGGAAACCCCAGATAACATGCCAAGCTGTGCCATGCTGCTGTGTGGAGTGAAAGTAGAGATTCATTCTGAACTTATCTTGTGCTTCCAGAATATTGGTCCTGAGGGAGCCCAGAAAGCAGCTGACCAAGTTTTCTCATTGTGTTCTCATTCCTTTTGGTTTCATATAAAAGGTGAATTCTTGCTGGTCCTCAAAATTTTAAGACTCTAACTCTTGTTGTTCTCTTCATCCAATCATACTTATATGCATGTATGCACATAGCATGCACGCTCAAATGCATTGAGTAGAGCATTTTGTGATGCATAGGAATGAAGTCAAATTACATCTGAAGCTTGGCCCTGTGTGAATTCTGGGGTTTTTTGCTTTTTTTTGTTGGTGGTTTGGGTTGGTGTTTTCCTTGTACCTAAGTACTAGGTTTTATCTGTCTCTGTGTTTGAGAGGTTATACCTAGTCCTCACGGAAACAACTGGAATCTTAGCAGATATTACCTCCCAAAACTCCTTTAACAGCTGATATTCCCTGAGGTCCTGTATGATCAATTTTGATCTTAAAATCTGTAACAGCTTCCCTTTCTGTATTGCTTAATATGATGCATTTATTTCTTTTTAGATGCCTTGATGAGAAAAGCCTTCACTTCTGCCACATTTAATTCAGATGCGTTCATCACAAGTCTCTTGATCCACATGGGACTACTTAAGGTGAGGAAGTAGGAAAGAGTTAAGTTACGGTCTGTTTAGGCTGTGGAAGACCAGACTGGCTGGGTTTTGGGTAATTACGTTGCCATGGAAGCAGCTGGGTGCCTGTGCATGCCTGATGCCCAAGGACAATGGAAGTCTGCGGGTCCAGCAGAAATTGCAGATTGCAAGGTTGCATTAGGATGAAGGAGGTGTCAGCTCTCTGTACCTCTTCTGCTTAATGTGCTCTGCATTCTTGGTCATTCCCTAAAGGTAGGGAGGGTCAGGTAAGGAAATAGTGCTGCTGCTGGACTATGGTGTCTATAAAAAGCCATGTCCAGGAGTCTAATCTACAATTTTGTTAGTTAATGTGGCCCTTTCAGGCATCTTTTAGTAGCATGGCTCAAAAACATATATCCAACTACTTGTGCTAGATCAGTCACATTCAACTTCATGCTTTGGAGTACCTTTGCCAAATACTAGTGTTAAATATGCAGCTACAAGGAATAAACTTTCTTGCAAGAAAAAATGGAGGTTCAGTAGGAAATACATGAATTGCATTAGAATAGCTGTAGCTTTACTTTCAGTGAGACAACTGGGGAGAGGTTTTGTCTGTAAACTTAAGAAGCACCTTTACCTACTTCTGCTGCAAGGGTTAATGTTTCTCACTGCATCAGCCAAGCATGGAAACTCAGACCAAGACAATTCTAAACCACAGAACAGCCATAATCTGTTATAGCAACCTGCTCGTAATTTATGGATTTCTTTCTGGTAATATCCAGCTTGGGGTACAGACAGCTGTTGACATGCTTGGATACATCTTGATTTCCTAAAAATCAGTTAAGTCTTTCCCTGTGTTCATTGGACATTGGACCAATGCTGAGCTTCTGACTTCTCAGGCAGGTCAACAGAACCCGAGATGACTTTTGTTCTGCAGAACACTTGTTTTGGGGACTACTGCCTACCTCTTGCCCATACAGAAAATAGCAAATATGCATGAGGCACAAAGCACGGATTTGTGCTCCAGAAGAACTTTCAGGCCAGGAAGTGGCATTGATAATAAAGCCCTTGAGGATCAGTCAGCTGATTGTAATCTGTGATGTAGAGGGCTGTTGATGAATTAGGCATATGTGGAGAGTGAGCAGCTTCCACCATTTTTTGTTCCCACATAGCTGGAAGCACATGAGCAACAGATATTCTTAGCACCATGAACTCCAAGATCATACAGCTAGGAACACAGGTCTAGATCCTGTCTACAGAATGAAGGGCTTTAGTTGAAATGACAGTGGAGAAATAAATGAAAACAATGAAGAGTTGGGACATGCAGGTTAGCACCATGTTAGGAGCAAAAATGCATCATGTAAGCAGGGAAATAACTATTAGCTTTATCTTGCACATAATTTTGAGACCTGTTGTGGGAATACTGCATCAAGTTCTGGAGGAAGCCTGCCAAAGAACTGGAGATAGTATAAAATGAGCTACAGAATAATACAAGAAAAAAATTGTATAATTAAGGTAACTGAATTCTTTATCAGTTGAAGTCTGGTGGAATTCCTTAGAAGAACACTTTGACACAGGCCCTCTGAGGAGATTTGGCTGTTTCACTTCATTACTTCCATTTCCCTATTACTACTGCTGTCAATTGATAAGTGCTAGAATGTTCTTGATGCTGCTTTATTTCAGATACTGGTGCTGGGAGGCTATGGAATTGGCTACTTTTGTACCAGCTTTCTCTCCTACAATGTATGAGAGCACTTCATTCAACAGAGAATTCATTGCCTCTGAGAACTACAGTGGATTAGATAAAATACTGATTGTCTGATGTCTGACTTCATCTTTTTGTCCTTTTTTCAGAGTGAAGAGAAGATCAAAGCTGTTCCAAGCCTCCATGGTATTCTTATGACCTTGAACCATATGGTCCAGCAGGATTACTTCCCTAAATCCCTGGCCCCAGTTCTCTCAGCTTTTGTCACAAAGTGAGTATTGTATTTGCCATGCAGTCTTCTCCATGGGAGCTAGTGAAACTGTTTGAGACTTAATAGCTACATGCAAGCTGTTCAAGTCTGTTAAAAGTCCACTAAATATCTGTTCTGAAATTAAGGATTAATAGTTTAATGGGCTTCTACTTTTATTTTGCTTAGTCCAGTATGCAAAGTCTAGAGTAAAAAAGTCTTGATCCTAAAGAAGAAATAGCGGAAAGTTGGCTTTGCAACTACCTGGCTCTGAAGCAGAGACTGCTAATGCCAGTCACAGAATAGGTGTTTTGAGCTTAAGGAAACCTGCTGGGTTTCTAGCAGCTGCTTGAGTGAACTATGAGTACACTGGATCTAACTGTGCCCTCCAAATCATCCTTCTGAGCATGAGGGTCAGCAGAGCTCTCCTGAATTGTCACGCTGTGTAACACTGAACAGCAGCAGATCAAAACACAGAGACTGAATTTGTTTCTAAATGAAACTTCCTACTGTGACAGCAACAAGGTTAGTGATTTTTTTCTCTGAGAAGTAAATTTGGAGTGTGAGTGTTGAAGAAGCTGCTTCTACTGCCTGCCTCTATTTAATGTTACTTCTAGTATAGGTATAGAATCAACGCCTGCACCCACTAGCTTCAGTTTCTTTAATATCTTAAAGCATAGTAAATGCAATAGCTGTGGAAGCCGTATCTCTCCTGGATTAAATCAGTGTGAACTTCAGCATTGATGAGAGTTGGGGGAAAAAACCAAACCACCAAATAGACCTCTCTTCAAGAGAGGAAGAATTAAATATTACTCTTCAGCAGTCAAGAGGAGAAACAGTCCAAAATTGTCACTTTAGGCAAAACCAGCAAAGGTCTGAAATCCATGTGGAGCTTGGTGGCTGTTTGGCTCAGCATGGACCACGTGTCACATAGGGTGAGAGCAGCTTTTTAACAGGTTCCAGAATGAGGCTTAAGCCTTCATGGTTTTCATGGTGTGGGCAATATGCAGATGCCTAGGATCTCTTGCTGGTGAAAGGCAGAGGCATCAAATACTCGTGGTCAGTACGAAACACGGGCGATAGGGATACAGTCAAATACTGGCAGTCGGTCTTGTCTTAGTTCTACTGGGATTGGAAGCAGGCCAGTTGTGATAGGGGAGAAGAATTTTTCCAAGCGTTGGTGTGGCTGAAGCTGTCAAAGCTGATGTGTAGCAGTGGTATGTGTCCAGCAACCAGCCACGCTAAGGTCAGTTTTGGAAAATAAAACTATGGAACTAGCTTGTTTACCCATGTGCAAATGTAGTGGAACGGTTTGTTTGCAGTCTCCTCTCTTTGGCTTGATCAGACTAAGAATTAGGCAGTTACAAGCCAATGACCATCGGCTTTACCAACTGAACAAAAATACCTCTGACTCAATCATTATAGATTTAAGCAAGAAGTGTCAGGACTTGCCATGTGAAGTTGTCCAGACAGATCACTAGATTTCCACTGTTTCTTGCACTTCTGCCTGTGCCGGTGATCTTCCTTGTTGATCAAGTAGATATGTACAGCATAAGGATCCAACACTAGCCCTAGAGTAAAAGGGTGAAGAAAATGATGGCTTACTTCATCAGGCACTAGTTATGCAGAGACCCAGCTTGATCAAAACAAGTACCACTTAGTGTTTGTCAGCCTCAGCCCTCCAAACAGAGGATTTAAATCACTTGAAGCTGGGAATATAGAAAAGGGGACTTTTGGTTCAGTACGTTTGATCCTTCTAATTGCTTCTGTCAAGTTCCAGTTCCTAGAGTAGCCTCATAACTCAACTTGACATGTCCTTCTAAACAACTTTGCTCACAAAAGACACTTGTCCCCCTCTCCCTGTGTGGGATTCCCCAGGCTGCAGGCCTGCAAAATACCATTAAATGTTTTTAATCTGTAGGTGATGCTGTATGTGACAAAATAAGAGTAAAATTCTGGTCTTAATGAATCCATCAACAAAAATTCCATTGAATCCATAGCCAGCATTTCACTACAACTACAAGAGAAGAAAGTCTCTTTCAGAAAAAGTGTGAGATTGTTCAGAGGTCCTCTATAAATTGTGCGAGAGCCAAGAGCCTCTTGCAGTAGAAGGCAGATCTGCCTGCCAGCCTTCAGTATGTAAGGGTGCTAATGCCAAGCCTGCAGAGTGTCCCCAGTGCTGTGAAATTCTTGGAGCTGAAGCTTTCTCTAATTTGCAAACCCTTCTGTTGCAAGGTGTGATACTATCATAGGGAAACCTGTCCTGTGCAGCATAATGAAGTCAACACTACATACAAAGAATATAGCTTTGTGTTTTATAAATTCATGTATTTCTTAAAGTGCTTCCCCTAAGGGAATAAGGATAACAGCTATTAGATCCTTTACAGTTGCCTGGAGAGAACAAAAGCAGTTCAAGAACCACGGAGCCCAATTAAAACAGCTTCTCGATTAACCTACACCCCTGGTCTTTCCTTGGAATTCAGTCAGAACAAAATCGCATCCTAACCTTAAATCAAACCTCTAACTGGTTAATCCAGTAATCTGCAGAGCTCATTTGGGCTTTGTTTCTGCAACAAATCTACTTCCAGTCTGTCAAACGCATGAGTCCTTCATTTGCAGCAGACTGGTATACATTTTTGTGATATTTTCTAAGTTTTTCCTTTAGGATTGCAGTTAGCTCTTGTAGCTGCCTAGGCTAGAGCTCTGCTGCCTTTTGCTGCAAGAGGCTTCTGGAGTAGTCATTCTTCTTTCTTTTGTGACAATTTGTGGTGATGTAGGTAGTGTTGCCCATTCAAAAATAATAAAATCATGGATATGGACTGTAAGCAGCATCCATCTTACTCTGCTGCTGTCAGTTCTTATTTTCTTTTTTTGGACACAAGAGGGTGCTGTGAATCCACGCGTGCTTTTCCATAGTTCAGGTGGAAACACTGAAAGAATGTGGATGGATGTCTGCTGCTTGTGACTTGCTGGAGGTGGTGGTGTTTGGGCTTTGGGGTTGTTTTTTTGGGGGGGGGGGGGATATAAGGGTTGGATTTTTTTGTTTGGGGTTTTTTTGGTTGGTTGTCTTTTTTGCTGCTCTTTGCTGCAGGATTGGATTGTGTCACTGGTCTCTTTCCACAGTCTGTAGCACAGAGTGGCAGACAGTTTAACTCCACAGCAAGAAAGAAGGAGGTTCTTAATGTTAGAGGAGGCTTGGTGTTAGGAGTGGAGGCAGTGATCAACATCAGCAGTTCAGGTTGTCTATTTCCAAAAATGGGGAGCTGCCTCGTCAAAATCAGCCTGCTCATTGCAAACAGGGCTGGGTCTTCCAAAGATGACAACTGAAATACCTCACCCAGCCACTTTGAAGATAAACTGCAAGTTGTAATTGTGTCCTGTTTGGTGTGGGGTATTGAATGGCTCTTGAGGGGATAAAAGGGGTTAGCTCTTCTCCAGGATGTGGTTCTGTTAAACCGTAACATACATGGAGCCCTATACCAAACAACCTCGGCAGCTATTACCCCTGTACTATAAATCCAGAGATTAATTTTTTGCTCCTACCTAGATACTCCCATCTTTATTTCAGTTCCCCCTTCTTTCCCAAATTGAGTAGACCTCACTGCTATTAAGGATATTTTGCTGTGTTGGAATAGGAGAAAAGTAAAATTGATGATTTCCATTCTCAGAACAGTGGAAAACATTGGATTAAAATTCTTTGGAGGAAGTTCCCTAATGGCTGGATACAGACTGTTAAAAGTTTCAGTGATTCTTAACGAATAGCTAGCCTGTGGAAACAGAAATACATGTTACTGGGGGGGGGGTTTGATGGGAAAGTTAGGGAGATTTAGCCCCACATGAACCCCTTGATGTGACTATAGTTCCTTCATGTAGTTTCAGGGAGCAGGTTATTCTGTGTGAGGTAGAGCTCGCTATTGTAATCTCTGTGCCAGGCGCTTTCAGCCGATGGTCTGCAGGTTCTGAGGGCTGTTTGTAAGGCCCCCGGAAAGGTGGCCCAGCAAAGCCAGTCAGGTGTTACTTGACCTCAGGGGGTGAGGAGGACCTCTTTTAAAGGCTTAAGACCAAAGTCACCGTTGGGTCAAAGATAGCAGGTGACTCAATGAGAAAAGATTTGAGTACGAGCAGGCTTGTCTTCTGTGGTTTGGGGCCCTAAATGGTGAATCTATATGGAAAATTCCATTTCTGGGAAGGAAAGGGGTTTCTACCCCCACCCACTTCCTGCTACCCAAACTGAGACACCGGGCTGGAGAGATCAGCAATCTGCTGCTGATATTTGTACCTGTGGAAATAAATGTTCTGATTCTTGGTTGTTGTCTTCCTGACTTGGACTCAGCAACAGGAGAGAGAATTTTTACAGCCAGCTCTGGATGGAAAGCAGTGATCTGTGCAGAGGTCAGGGAATGGTTTCAGAAGAGATGACCAAGGGGAAAAGACATAGACTTTTGGGCATGCAAGCCCAGTGCATTTCAAATAGTGTTTATTTTCTCATTCCAAGTCAGATCCAAAGCAGTTCTTAAATTTACTATTTTAAATATCTCTCCTCTTTCCACAGACCAAACCGTGCTCTTGACTCCTGTTCATTTGCTCGCCACATGCTCTTACAAACCCTCCACCAGCTGTAAGAGAAGAGATGTGCTGCTGTGCCCTTCACTCCTCATGGGACTGTTGTCAGCAGAGAACTCAGAGCTGCATGGTGGGAGAGGATCTCAGAGCCCATACAGACATGCTGTACTCTCTTTTTTTTTCTTTTTTTCCCCTCCCCCCCTTTTTTTTTTGTTCCCATGTAGTAGGTGCATCCTTCCTTCTGCTTTCTCTGCTGAATTTTTTTTCTACTTCTCATGAAGTGACTCCCAGGTCTGCAGGGCAGGTGCTTACACTAGAATAAGTCAGTGCTGCTCTGAGCTCTGCATGAATTTAAAAAGAAGAGTTCTCCACTTCGGTCACATTGGCAAGGGTGTGTCAAGACTAACATGGGGCCCAGAACCGTTCTCATCAGGATCAACTGAATTGTGCTTTTTATTTTATTTTATTGGACTATGACTCCTGCCTGATAGCATTCAGCACTGCGCAGGAGGGAGGCTACGCTGCTGCTGCTGCTGCCCCTGCTTCTTCCAGGCCGGGGGAGTGTTTGAACCCCTTCTGCTGCAGCATCAGAGGGGCAAGGTGTGCTCCCCCTTGTTTCTTCTTTCAAGTCCATTTGTCAGTGGCAGTGTGTGGCTGATTTGTATTTTAATATACTACTCCCTTGCTGCTGTGGCTTGGAATATTTGTGTAGTGTGGCTGACCCTGGTGGCCGTTGCTTTAAGGGAGCAAACATATTTTTATTGTAAATTTTTTTTTGCCATTGCCTGTGTTGTTCCCTCTTCCTGCCCTTTCCCTGTCCCTTTCCCTTCTCTTCCTAATTAAATAGGCTTGGTTTGGAAATGAATACTATCCATGAAATCCCCGTGGAATAAGTGTTCCCTTTCTCTTCCCTTTGACAAAACACTGAGACTGTGTGCACTGTTCACATGTTTGAAAGCTGAGCACGTGTAAGAGCACGAAGAATTAGGACCGTGATGATCGTTCTTGGGTAGGGTTGTGCTTTTCTCTTGCACTGAAGGAGGATTGTCCATGTGCCTACCTCTACCATTCCTGAGCACAGAGGCTCACAGGCTGGTCCTGCTGGCGTTAACTCACAGGGTGCGCAGGCACCACAAGCAGAAAAAAGGGGCTTGGGGCACTGGATTGAAATAAAGCGCGTGGTACGTGCAAGACCTCCTTGCGCACTTAAATTCCTGCTTAAGTTCCTCCAGGTTGTGGGCCTGTTCAAGGCAACCACTGGTGAAACTGGGGTGACTGTGGGAAGTTTTGTCTGGCAATGATCCAGCAGGCTCAGGAAAGCAGTGCCTGCTGTCGCTCTCGCAGGGGAGGTGCTGGCCTTTGTATAAGTATGGTGTCCCCTCATTAAAAAAAGGCTGCCCTAAGGCTAAGAGCAAAATGCATTTTCCTCTGAGTTTCTGTGACTTCTGTGTCCAAATTGGGTAAAAAAAATCAACCAAAGTGAAGGTACCTGCACCTACAGAAGGAGCTTCACTCGCTGCAGGCTGAGCCCTGCATCCTTCACCATTGCAAAAGCAAATCTGTTAAGTTTTGCCATGAGTAAACCAAGACATAAAAGGATCTGTATTTTTCTCTAATTCTTGAACCTAGCGGAGCTTTCCTTGGGGCTCCCTGGCCTCTTGCTGCTCTTCAGGCCCTCCTGCCCTGAAGGAGGGTCATGGAAAAAAACGTGATGCAGAGCAGATGCGCAGAGACCAAGCCAAGGGGTTGATCTCTATGGGAGGCCACCTGCAATGAGTCCCGTGGAGCATGTCCTTTCAAAAGCAAACAGTATTTAGAAACAGGACTTTCCTGGTATTCAATGTGAAGATGAGATGCCTATAGGAAAAAGGGGGGTGTAAGGGTAGCAGTGATAGTCTCTGCAGAAGACAGATTTGCTTCTAGGTAGGACGTGGACTTGGAAGTGCCTTAAAATTGGCTTATGTCTCAGGATTAGAGAAAGAAAAATAAAAAAGAGGATGGGAATTACTAACTCTGGTTTCCATTAGAAGTTGCTCCTAGAGGATGACTGTTTCCGAGCGATGCCCTGGAGGAATGAGGGTCATTCCAGTGCTGCTTCAGCCTGTCTTGTGTAACCATCTCACCCCAAAAGCACAGCTATTGTCAGAAGTATTTTTAATTTGAACTTCATTAGTTCAGCAAGGCAGCAGTGGCGCAGAGCTCTGTCTGCATGGAGCAGTTTGGGTGCATCTGCGAGCACTGAAACCCTGTAGTGGTAGTAATAGGATCAGGCTCCTTGCAGGCAAAGGTGAAACATTTTTCTTTAATGAAAACTAAAAATACCTGGCTTGGCAGAGGTGGGTTAAATCCCCAGGGGAAGTTCAAGTGTGCTGCCTTTGTGTCCCATCAGAGAGAGCAAAGACTGGCTGCCTCCTGGCAGCCTTGGTAGAAGCCAAAGCTGGCGAGATCATTGCTGGGTAAAGGAACAAACCAAAAGCCTGGAGCGAGGCGGGGAAAAGGGCAGACGTGGCACTTGGTGCCTGATACCACATACCAACCTTCCCGTGGGCCTCCAGCAGAGCCCAGGCCACCGCCAGGGAGGTGTTGCTGCCCATGTAGCTGGCCAGGCAGGGGTGGGGGCTCCCGGCCAGGGGGGTTGGTGGGGGAGCCAGGCAGTGCGGAGCAGGGCCAGAGTGGTGGTGGGGGTGATGGCGGCTGCGGCGGGTGGTTCCACGTCATCTGGCAGATGGAGTTGCCTCTGAAGCGCAGGGTGGCCAGCAGCGGGGCAGAGGAGATGATTGTAGTTCAGGTGGAATGGAGATGAGCGTGAGAGCTGGTGCCTCTGAGCTGCTCATTGCATCAGCACGGTTGGGCAATCGCCCTGTGTCACCGGAGCGCTGGGCACCCCTGGGAGCCCGCAGGGACGGGGAGGATGCTGGCCCAAGGCAGTGGCCAGGGAGGCTTTGGCCG